GGTGGTGGGGTCCACCCTGGTAGTGGACCTCCGCATGGTGGCGTGGTCCACCGTGGTGGCTCTCAGCAGGGTGGTGGGGTCCACCCTGGTAGTGGGCCTCAGCATGGTGGTGGGGTCCATCCTGGTGTTTCTCAGTATGGTGGTGGTGCCTGTTGTGATGTCTCCTGCTACCATGGTGGTGCTCATCATCAAAGTAGTCCTGGTCTTGGGAATTGTGGGAGGGGACAGTGCCATGGGAAGGAGTCAGGACAAGGGGTGTACCAAGGTGGGTTTTACCATGATGGTGGGTCTCATGGCGGTGGGGGTGATGGGAGTGGAGGTTATGGCGGGAGAAGATATTGTCATGTAAGTCACCATGATGATGGGGTAAGCCATGACGGTGGAACTCCTCATGGTGATGTGTTACGCCATGGTGCCATGGCTCATGATGCCAGTGACCTCCTCTGTGGCCCTGTCTGTGATGTGGGGTTGATGCATGGGAGTGAGAGAACATATCCAAGTTATTGGTATCTGCCTCATTTTGAGTCTTTTCAGTCATGGAGGGTTGATCCATGGCTCTCTGAGAATCCTAGAAGAAGAAATCAGGTCTGGGACCCAACAGACCTCCTCCTGGATTGTCTGTCTCACCTAAGGTGAGGAGTGAGGGCTTCTAGAAAAGCCTGACTCTTCTCACGGAATTCTCCCCACTATGACATCACTTGCAGACCGAAATCCCAAGTGCCTCCTAGGAGTCAAAGGTCATTGTACCTAAACTCCTCATTGTAAAATGAATAAACTGAGGTCAAGAAAAGGAAAGGGGAAAAAAAAAGAAAAGAAAAGAAAAGAAAAGGAAAGGAATTGGCTCAAGATGACCTAGGAGGTCAATGGCAGAGTTGGATGAAGAACTTCTGGGTGTCATCATTGAACCCAGCAATTGCTTTAGCTTGTTGTTAGAAAGAACTTTAAGAAGCCAAGTGGTCCATTTGTATCTAAAGAATGGCTGATCCTGGTGTTAAAACTGCCTGGCTCCATTTTAAGCAAGTGTGTAATCTTAGGTTAGCTGCTCAATCTTCCTATGTCTCAGTTTCTTCCTGTAAAATGAACATAATAAAAAAAGTTGAAATAAGGGCCCTCCCAGGTGGCACAACAGGTTAAAGCGCAGCTCTATGAAACTATCAGCAGCCATGAATTCAATCCCCGGCCAGGGAGGGACCCACAGGGCGCAGCAGACCTCTCCTGTGTCCCCACTGCTCCCCTCAGCAGAGGATTTCAGTCATTCTGCTTGTTCTGATCCCCTCCTGGTCTCTGGTGAATCCTTTCACCTTCCCCGCAGCTCTGGCCTGTGCCCAGTTCTTGTATGCATATATAGATGTCTTTTAAAAAATTAAAAAGTTAGGAAGTTTATATTAATTGAACAATACATGTTGTTGTTATTCTCTCCTTGGTCATGACGGAGATGGAACCCCTCATGTGTCATTACTAAAAACTACTGAATCATTGCTTATTGAAAACTTACTTTACACACGACTTAATCCCCATAATAATCCCATTTCCCACTTGGTTGACCAGTAAGTGTTACAGGTCAACCCTGAGGGAAATGAGGGTAATCTGAGTGATGAGTCCGCATCCATACACTTACCCACACAGGACACCCCGCAAAGGCAGACACATGGAGAGCATTAACAGGGCTTATTTACACAGAGAATAAGAAAAGGCAGAGCTGAGAGAATTTATTGGCATGTGGCCAGGTACTGTTTATTCGACCCCGCATAAGATTCACCAAGCAGAATCCAAAGATGAACTCACAGCGCACAGGGCAGGCCCAGGCTTCTCCACAGACGCCCTTCTCAGGAGCAGCTCAGGAACAAAAGGCCACGTGCTACCGCTCTTCTCACCGCCCCCCTCAGCCCAGGGGGGTCTGGACAGCCCTCCTGCCACCACTGCGTTGCCTGCGAGGCCACCCAGCGCCACCCGCCTTCCTCTTCCGCATTTCTCTTAAGAATTTCAAAGTAGCCTGCACTGCAACGTCTGTTACCTTAAACACTAGGCTTTCCCACCTTTCTGCTAAAATTCAGTGCACAGTTTCCCTGTACACCGGATTCTCCCCCTGGAAGCTCCCCAGTCACCCCTGCTCTCAAGGAACTCGCTGTTGCCAGCAGCACACACAGTCTGACAGAATGGCTCGATCCACAAATCCATTCTCTTCTCCCGATGAGATACCGGACTCCCCCACGCCCTCCCCTCCCCGTGGCACAATGGGTTAAAGCACAGCCACTGCAGCATGAGTTCTGTCCCCACCAGGGAGAGACCCACAGGACGCAGCAGACCTCTTTTGTCTGACCTGCTGCTCCCCTCAGCAGTGTGCTTGCTCAGTACCCCTGTTCTGCTCCCAGCTCTGTCTCGGTGAGTTCTCTCACCCCTGCACCTCTGGCCTCACTGCAGTTCTTGTATGCATAAGTAAATAAATCTTAAAAAAAAAAAAAAAGAAAGAAAAAAGAGAGAGAAAGATTAGATTTTCCCGTCTACCTTGCAGCTAGGTGTGGCCAAAGGGAGAGGGCAGAGCAGTGTGAAAGCTTCAGGTCGTGGGTGAAAGCAGGCGGCACAGTTCGCCCTGTCTTCCCCCTTCCTGTGAGCTAGAGCGCGATCACCAGCAGACAGGATCAGCATTCTCGGGCAGTTTCCATCTAGAGGTCTCAGGACCTCAGACTTGGCCTCGAGACCCCCCCACCCCCGTGTTCTGTACTGTGACTCTATAAAAAGAAGCAGCATAAACTTGGATGGAGCTGGAAAAGATCATGCTGAGTGAGATAAGCCAGAGAGAGAAAGAAAAATACCGGATGGTTCGCTCATAGCAGGAGTAATGGACCAGGCGAGAAAATAACAAAAATAATGAACAACCATGGACCAGAGACATTCTGTGGGGGCGGAGTGGGGAATGGGATCAAAAACGGGGGGGGGGAGGGAAATGCACAGGACGATGGTGGTGGCACAGGGGTGATTTGGTGATGGGAAACCCGCGGGGATTACAATCGAGATGGAAAAAAAAATGTGCAAAATGATGTAAAAATAAACTTTGTAATAAAAAAAAAAAGCAGCAGCATATTTTTGAGCTTGGCGAGCTGTGCGGCGCCAGGCTTGAGCGATGGATGTCAGAGCAGCTTACTGGCTGCGCCTGTGCTCGCCGGAGAGAGGTTTCTGGGTGTTCAGCAGGAGACCAGGAAGCCTGTGCCATGTGTGGACTGGTGCTTACTGCCTGCAGAGGGCAGGGTAAGGGTGGAGGACGCGGGCATTGGCTCCTGAGTTCCCCGCCCACCCTGGTGCGGGCCTGACTTCCAGGAGCAGAGCCACTTGATGGTGTGATAGCAAATCTGCCGGAGCAATGGTTTTCACGGAGCCCTCCCTGGTGCGCCATTGGTCAAAGCGCACCGTTGTGAAGCTGTCCCGAGGCCACTGCAGCACGAGTTCGATTCTGGGTCAGGGAGGGACCTACAGGCCGCAGCAGAACCCTCCTGTCTCCCCGCTGCTCCCCTCAGCAGTGGACTTCGTCGATCTGCCTGTTCTGCTCCCCACTCTGTCTCTGGTGAAGCCTCTCGCCGCCCCTGCGCCTCTGGCCTGTACCCCAGTTCCGCATGCATAAATAAAGAAATCTTAAAAGAAATCACTTCACCTGCTGTGACTCAGCTGCCCCCACCACCCTTCTGTCGTAAACCCTAAAAACATGAAGTACACACGTTGGAAGTGACCTAAAGTGTGAAGATTTAATACCTTTTGCCAGTTTCCTCTTTCGTTATTTTTTAGACCCTTCTAATAAGACCTTGTTAGTGTTTTCTGCTTGGCAGATGTGTCTAACAGTTGAGTGAGCTACGAATTGAAAGAGGACCACAGACAAACCGGCTTCGTTAGTGATCAACAGTTGCAACTTTCGAACACTGCAATCAGTGGCTTCTCCCACTGGAAAGTGCTTAACGACGTCAGCCATTTGGCAAGTAAGTGTGCTCATTTTGACCTGTTGGTGTCTTACAACAAACAGATGAAGCTGGCACTTGAAAGGCGACTGTAGGAAAAACGGGGTGACTGAGACTTTTCACCTCCCACCTGCGGCCTTGCTTTCCCGCCACAGGTGCTGTCATCGGTGCTGCAGCTCTTGGGAGCGCGAACTCTGGGCACGCACGGACACCTGGGAGCCAAACGGAGAGGGATGCTTGCAGGCCGTGGCGCCTGTGGTTACCGACACTGCCAAGCAGCTGGAGAGCCCGGACCTGTAAGTGGGGATGACAGTACCTGCAGGACAGCAGGACAGTACCTGCTGTCCGACAGCCTGTTCGTGTGGGTTCTAGTAAATACGGTTTGCTGTGTTTTGATGTTGGTGGCTAAGTTAATCCAGTGCATTGTATTTGGGCCTCTTCGAGTGAGCGAGAGACAGCACCTCAAAGACAAATTTTGGAATTTTATTTTCTACAAGTTCATTTTCATGCAAACCCGAAAGCAAACTCGCCTTGTGTGTCTGTGTGCACATGCATGCTCTGCTCCTTCCTCCTCCCCTTCAGAAATCCCCTCCTCTCTCACATTCCTCTGATTTTGTCTCTGCACATAAGCTGTGGGTGTTAGGCAGCCCGCTCTCGGGCCCACTTCTCTCTTAGGCTCCTGCCCATGTCTTTGCTCCCCATTGAGGTAAAATTCCTCAAAAGAGTTGGCACCGCCCAGGAAGGCGTTTCCCCTCCAGCGCCCTGAAACTGTTATTGTCAGGCCACTGTGTGGCTTAGGGCCATTGGGCTTCTCCATTGGGAAGAGGAAGAAGAGTTGCCTTGGGGACAACTCTTCTGTGCACCCCGCCTCCAGGCTGTGCACCCAGCAGGTGCAGTGAAGGCTTGGGAGGACCAGATCCCACCTGCGGCCCAGCCCTGAGCGCCCACTCTTGGCTCTGCTCCTGGAAGCCATGTCCTCCTCAGAGACCCCACTTTCCCTTTGTAATGGGGGTTCAGGCTGTGGCCCAGCACCCTGCTGCCCAGGTAGTGTGGAAATCCCATGAGGTTGGGTGGGGTGGAGAGAGGGCATGGAGAGGCCATTCCTGCACTGCACTGGCCAAGGCCCTAGATGGCTGCAGCCCTGGGGGTGGGGCGTAGTCCCGGGCCCCTGAGTTTGAGAAAGGCGCTGCCACACTTCCCTCCCCAGCCCCTTTGCTCCCCGCCCCTCCCCTCTTGCGGGTGCCCCAGAGAGGGCCCCTCCTCCTGCCCTGTGGCAGCCTCCGCTCTGGCGCATCTGAGAAGCCGCCCACTTGTGTTGGCAGATGGCTCAGCGTGCCTGCTCCATGCAGCCCTTCTGTGGGCCAGCCGAAGCGCTGGGCCTTCTTCCCTCCCGTCCACTTACGTGCCCCCCAAGGAGGTAAGTGCAGTGTGGTGACATGCATCTGACAGGTGTGAGCCCAAGCCTCCAAGCCACGTACAGTGTGGGCCACCACTGTTACCTCAGTAGAAAGGATCAAAACCAAAACCAGCCCAGTGTTCACGCGAGCCCACCTATCCCAAGGGTGGGCGCCGGGCTCCTGAGGCCACCCAGGCTCTGGCCCCGCAGGCCCCGCCTCCTCCAGGGCGGCTGGAGGAACGTGCCCTTGGCCCTTTTGCACGCTGTTCCCCCTCCTGGGAACGTGGCATAAGAGTAAGGTCTGCTGGGTCTCCCTGGTGATGCTGGGGTGAGACAGCGCTATGGAACCAGGGCAGCCCCTGCAGCGTGAGTTGGAGCCCCCGCCGGGGAGGGACCCCCAGGGCGCAGCAGCCCTCTCCTGTGTCACTGCTGCTCCCCCCAGCAGTGTGTTTCAGTCGATCCGCCTGTTCTGCTCCCCACTCGGTCTCTGGTGGATCCTCTTACCCCTGCACCTCTGGCCTGCCCAGCTCTTGTGTGCATAAATAAATAAATATAAATAAATATTTTACCTTACTTTTGAAACATATCAGAGAAATAGAATTATATGCAAAAATAATATGACCTGTACCATTGCTTCTTTT